AATCGAAGGCGAATGCATCGGCATGTTCGTTCGGGCACGAAAGTCCTCCGAATCTGCTAGTTCGAGTGGACTTCTAGCCAGTGGCGTAGCGAGCCGGAGTGCCGCCCGGGGCGGTGATTCGAAATTTTCCGTTTTTTCACCGTGCTCGACGAAAATGCCGCCCCCGCCAGATATTTTTCCTCGAAAACAGTCCGTTTTCTGATGCAAAACCCCGAAATGCCGCCCCTAAAAGCTCCCTAGGAAGTGCCGCCCGGGGCGGGCCGCCCCCCCCCCCGCCCCCGCCTTACTACGGTACTGCTTCTAGCTCTCGGTGACCACCGAGCGCGCGACGGCGATGAGCCCCGGGGCGCCACCCCGGGAACGACATTTGACCATATTTATGGTATGTGATGGTCACGATGCGCCCGCGCTGGTGCTTCCTCCATGTACTCGCAATTACTTTCTTCGTCTGGAATGAAAATCTTCATTCTTCATCACCGTTCGTATCCCCTTCTGTTGCTCTTTCTACCGAAGCTGCTGTTTCTGTTTCCGTGCATACTTGACGTCGTCTTTTTGCTCCGCTAATGGTGAAGCGACCGCTGTGTTCCGGCTTCGCTCCATCGTTTACGGAGACGGTGATCCCAAGAACGACGTCCTCGCGGAAGATATTTCTGTTTCGGCCAAAGGAGTCTCCGTGACCTCCGTTCGCCACACCGAGGTACGCTCGGAAGAACGTTGTGTTGCTGTGAACAGACCAGTTCCGAGCTCTTGCCAACGCAGATGATCCCAACGAGGCGTCCGAGCGCCTGGTTCAGGTTATGGAGAAGTCAGTCCGATTGAGAACGGAGCAAAACAAGCCTCGCTTCGACAGAGAATGCGCTAACATCAAACAGCTCTGTATCCGAATTTTTCTATGCCCTCGGACCGTAGAATAATGCTCCTACGATTATTCGCACGCACGAACGCGTATGGAGGAAAGGGATCCTCCCGAGGTTTTTTTAATTTCTCTGTACCCTTGAAGGAATCAAGGAGGTCCTGAATTTAATGATGCTGTTCCAGAGTGGGTCAAATGCGGCTTCAGGTAGGAAGGAGCCGTCTAACTCTACGAAACGGCGTCACAGGAGGCAAAGGAGGATCGTCGCTTTTCTCCCGGGAAGGGGCACATTCTTGCCTTCGGGACAGCGGAGGGCATCGCAGCGACACTCTTATTCCCCGCAGCAGTTGACGGTTCTTGAGCGTTTCGACTATCGGGAGTGTCGTACTCCTATTTTACTGATGACATCTCCATTCCTTGTCCCCTCCATGATGAGCCATATTTTCTTATGGGCCGCAAGTGCGCTATTCGGCCAATGCTGGCGGGGGGAGCGGATTTTTCCAAGAGCCGCGACGCGTCGTTCGCAGTAAGCCGACTCAGAGAGAGCACGAGATTCATAAACTTCAGGCATAGAGCTACTCGAAGGTATCGATTGCTCGTTTCCGCTGAAATGCGTTCCAAGTATTAGTCGCCGTTCCGCCTTACTCCACCACAATAAAAACGATGATGGTATGCCAGCGGAAGCAAATATTTGCATGAGCTCCTCCTAAGGGTGCCTTAAACGTTCGACATGGGGAAGGCTCTTTTGACAACTAATTTGTCGACAGACCGGACGCTACTCCGATTGGATCTGGCTAGGTCTACCCGTAGAGCGATCATGGAGACGAAGCGCATACTGCAGAAAAACCTGAGGCAACTACTCCCCGTCGGGGCGTATCGAGCACGAGCCTCGGGGAAGAGAAATGTACTCGCCCAATAGAGTTTTGCGGAGATTCGAATCCTCAGTACGAGTTACGAAATCTCGATCATTGATTCTGACGCCCCCGAGGAATCGAAATCAATGGATGGAATTGATTACAGAAGAGACATCGCCGTGTCACTCGCTCCCATTCAAATAATCGTGCGGGAAGGAATTCGACCCTTCCGACGTCGAACCTCGCAGTCTCATGGCTTCCGAGCGGGGATCTGGCTCTCCGAGCAGAGGGATGGTATCAAAAGAGAATGGTTTTTGGGAAACGCTCGAAAGCGCGCTCCTCGAGTTGCTCGCTAGCTCGAGGAAGCTGCGAGTGGAGTTTGGCTTGTCGTATGTCCGGAACACTCACACCCGCATAACAGGCTCCGAATGCGCCCCCGACTTTGGAGGCAATCTCATGGCTGGCAAGAGCGTGTCGAGCAGACTTACTCGAGGGAAACGCATTGCGTTGATTAAGCTTCCCTCGCCTGCTCGAAATTTCGCGAATAGAGATGAATCTTCAACGAAGGAACAGGGATTCAAGAAGCAAGAGTCAACTGAGCGTAGCGCACAGATTGGCCTATCTACATACATTCGTCGACGGCATTCAAGCGTCACGTCGGAGAGGCCCGTTCTGCCAACCAACCGAGAAACCGGTCCGCCGAGTTTTGAACCTTGAGTTTGCTGTTCCGAGAGCCAACCTCTAAATGAGGCGAAATTTTCGCCCCGAGGCAGAACGAGGGGAAAAAAGACCGTACGTTGGAGATAGCGGGGTTTAACCCCCACCCCTCTACTCCTTCACGAGTCGCACGCGGCGTCACCCGCCGGGCTGTCTGGTCCTGTGGCCGAATAGTGTGGAGTAGAGCCGCGCGAATGGGGCCGCCGTACGGTGGAAACCTCGGATCCCGTCGCATATGGTGATCGACGAGCTCACCACGAAGCGTCTGATTGAGAACGATGGAGCAATTTTGGACCCGTCACCGCCTTACTCCCCCGCAGCGCTGCAAGCGCGCGAGCCGCAAACGCTATCGGAATGTGCACGTGCTCGTCGTTCGCGGCGCGACCAACATTCGAGCTCATCCGGGAGAATACAACTAAAGGGAGAGAGCGAGAGCCCTGGATACGGTATACATTCATAGACAATGCGCACGGGTATCCTAATCCGCGTCATTTCCGGAATCCGGAAGCTGACATTCATTGAGGATTTTGTCGAGAGTGGGCAATATTCGCGACTGGAGAAATTTGAATCTGAGCCGAACAGCCTCTCTCAGCGGAGCAAGATCGAGAGTCCGCCTCGGAAGGATTTCGCCCCCCCCTTCACATCCTTTGTCCCGGAGCTACATGCATGGAAATGGAAAGTGGAGGGAAAAATAGAGGGTGAGAGTGAGAGCCAACAGGTCTTAATTCGTGACGCTGGACGCCTCTTCGAATCTCGATTGACCCACCTGGGGGCGCAGAGCTTGACCCAGGTCGACGTGATCACGGAAACAATCGGGTTCGTGCTTCGGGACAGAGAACTTGTCGGCGAATGTGCAATAGCTGGGCAAAGGTCTTGGGTACTGGCCCCGATTCACAGGATCAGGAGGCCAAGTTTTTCGGGTGGGATAACTGGCTGAGACAGACTGAGCCGCTCGACTGACACCCGGCACAACGAGGTAGGGAACAAGCAGCCCACGCGAAAACATCCGACAATCAGCCGACGGACATGCCGCAATCTCGTTTTTGTGGAAAAGATCACGTTCAAGCAATCAGCATTGACCCCTCCGATACGGGGCCGAAGCGGGTGAAACCTCCCGGGAAATTCCTGTCAGAGCGACTCATTGTCTCTTCCTATCGGAACTTATCCGACCTCGCTTCCTGTTCCTCTCGACCTTTCCCTCCGTCAAGGAACCGCGGGTCGAGCAAACAGTACGGCGATCAATATCAAAAAGCCGCCGGATGCTCAATAAGTTTCGGAAAAGCGGGAGAACTTCCTCTGGGACACTCAGGACCCCCGTCCGAGATGCCAGATAGCGAACCAGAGCGCCAATAGTCCCCCGACCCCCGACGTGTCTGAAGATGCAAATCCATGTCGCGCCGCACGTCCGGTCGGCGGCGTTCGCTGCAGAAGCCTCTATCGTTGTCGCCCTCTGATGCGGACGCTCATTGCTGGGTATAGAACGCGGGAATCGGCGAGGACAGAGTTCCTCAGTGGGAAGAGCTCATTTCGCATGCAGCACTGACCCGGAGACGCCATTGAGACATCGACCGCCGCGTTTCCGTCCCAACAGCCTCTCGTTGTTGTCATCGCCGTTCTTGTCACTATGTGCAATCGATACAATGGATGAATGAACGAGTTCACGTACGCGTACAATGTCAGCGAGGCAAGCTACGGAAGCATGTCGGCATGCGTAAAGCATTGCAACTCGATGTCAGCGCCATTGTCCACCTGGCGAGAGAGGACCGAAAACCCGTGAATAGTCTGGTCCAGTTGACAGGCGACGCGGCATTGCCCGGAGGCGATTAAGGGCTTTGCATTCCTCATGATTTCGTGGTTCGGTAACCGCTTCAGCCTCGATGACGATTGATTTAGACAAAGTCCTTGGTTTGGCTCATGGGACTTGACGGGATTGTGTGCTCCAAGATCGATTGATCGCTCCGCGTTGACGGTTCGCGAGACGTGGCCTTCGATCAGTGACCTTCTCCTCCCCAGCCTGGTCTTGAATCGAATCTCGAGTTGTCCGAGATTTTGTGATTGATTGACTGATTGGTTCACGGCTTCACGGGCGCGAGTGGAGGGGCAGGAAACCTTCCTGATCGTGGCACAGTCTACACAATCACAGCTTGCGTTCCGTCAGCCTTCCGCACTGATGCCGCATTCGATACGGCTCCCAGCCCCTCCCTCCTCCCGATTGTTGCAAACGGATTCGATCAGCGCTAGACGTTGATACGGAATGTCACCTCAGCGCAGACTGCAGACTGTCCTCGGCTGACTGCCTCTCACGAACAGATCACCCTAGTCGTGACCGTGACTGTTTGACTCCTGTCGCCGAATAATTTCACAGCCGACCACAGCTCACAAGTGTCTGTCTAAAGCCCAGACCCTCCTCTATGGTACTCGTCTACTGAGATCGTCGCTAGCTCGCTCTATACGGAGCGAGCCTTATCCTTATCATCATCAGTGTAATCTTAGTTCGAATCGATAGAACATTGTAAGGAGTTAAGGAATGGATACTCGCCTAGACTCTTCCAAGAATTCTTTCACACGATTTTCAGACTTTCGAAGCTGTCGAGATCAAAGGGGACATGGGTAGCAAGGAGGATACGCCGAGCCCCTCTTCGATGGTCCTCGAAGCCGCTGATGAAACATGCGACGGACTACATCTTCTCCTGACGAACCAGTTCACCGCGGCCTTGGATAAAATGCGCCCTAAGTAAGTGTCTCTGCTCAAGCTTTGTTCAAGGAGTTTCGAGAAGCCCTGAAGAGAGCTCGTCAACCCATCAGCCGCCATGCAGGCTGTAATGTACATAGGCGAATTTCGCCCAAGTGAAGCCCATTCGTCGGAAGATCGCGTTGAACCATGCTGTCGACGCCATCGAGCCGCGGGCTCGTTCCCAAGATGTCGAGCGAGCCCTCGATTCTACGAGCTGTTCGACACTCATGTACGGCGGCACCCAGGCCGCTTTGTCGCGAGATTCTCACGCTTGTCGGTGTTGAAACTGACTCAAGTCATAGATTTCAACGTAGAGCGGCAGTTGTCTCGCACGCTTTCGCAACGATTCATCTGGAATTGTCCGACGTCAATATTCGCGCTGTCTTGCAACCACTCGGCTTCGAATTGTGTGCGCAAGCTCCGATCGCAATCGGATCCTATGTGCGAACTCTGCTCGAAATGTGGGCTCCAGCTGACATTGAGAACCTGGTCGATTTTTGCTGCGCCTCGAGACAGGGAGCGGAAACTTTGCGTGACTCGAGCGCCGGTATCTGAGCGAGCTCACCTGAGGGGCTGATTCGCGTTGTCTATATCGACAAGGAACAGAGCTGCGGTCTGCAGATGTTGAAGAATAGCCCAAGCATGGTTCATTCACCCCGATCCCACTCTTTCCTCCCTGCCAATAGTCGAACGCCTCTCGGACCAAATTTTGTCTTCGACTATAATTCGATCCACACGGGCGAGGTCGCATCAATGTGTGCGATCTCGCTCATATGGACTGAAAGATTTAATCGAGCATCCTGAAGTTTTGACCTCGCCGTGGCAGAGTCAAGGAGGTCGTGCTCTTCAAAGTGCCCAAATAGCAAGAATGACTCGTTTCCCTAAGAATACGACGCAGTATTCAGCAGAGGGGACAGATGGAGCTCGACAGGGGGAGAGACAGAGGTCGCTTTCGAAGAGGGCAGACCTCATCACTAGCAGATAGGTTGCTCCCAAGTCAGTTGCCACGAGTACGGACGAGGCGGGCGCACGAAGAAAAGACGATGGGGGTCTCTCGAGTCTGTGGTCTGCATGCATCTCCTGAAGGCAAGCGACGCAACAATAGGGGGAAGCTTTCGCCAGACTGGAGGGAGGAGGAACCGACGAAATTCCTGAATGAACTCTCCGGAGGGACCTGCAGTAATTTCCCCTAGACATGTGAGGATTTTTTCCCTCGAAACTGTTCTCCGCTCCACAGGCAAGGGCCCTGTTAGCCCTGCTCTCATTCTGTTCCACTAGCCGCAGCTGGAAGCTTGAATGGGTTGAAGACGGGTTCAGTTGTCTTATGTAGGCGGGCCGACTAGGCAGTTTTGCGAAAAGGTTTCCTTTGCTTCCGTTCCCCTCTAGCGAAGCGGAACCCTTGACGACACGTAAGCAGCAATTACGCCCAACAGCTGCGACACTCCGGTGTTACCCTTCGGCGACTCGCAGCGGAGCTTACCTTCATTCATTTACCGATCAATCACCGTTTTCCCAGGAGAAAATCGGCATGAACTCATCCCTCAGACGATTTTTCATCGATAAGTGCTCCCGCCAGTCTTGCTGACTGCGAACTTCCGCTCTCCTCGATGAGGAACGCATAACATGGGATTTTCGATCTGTCAGGACTGATTGCTTTCCTTAAGGGCGGGCTTCGCTGTGCGTGAGTTGTGTGATGGTGATGTGCTCACCGAGAAGCACAGGACGGAAAAACTAAAACATTAGTGAGGAAGGCTCCTCCTCGAGGCTTCGGGAAATACCGTGATTGAGCGAGATCTGCGTGCCTTGCCGAATGGAGGCACGCATGCATGTGTAGTTCGGGACGAATGTATGCGCATGCATACGAACTAGGTATTCGACGATGAAGCGCTCCAGGCTTGCAGATAAGAGCAATGGGGGGCGGGGCCAGCAGAGAAGCAAAGGAACTGTCAAGCGTCAATGCTCAGCGGGCGGCAGTTTCCCCGCTAGGACGTGGGGACCTAAGACGAATGCTGATTTTTCTCGCTTGCATTTTCCAGGGCGCACGACAGCATTTACCATGCCTTAGGCCAATCTACCATAATGTTCATGCAGGCCGTCCTCACGCTCGACATGGTAAGTCCGGATTCTCAAGTCTCCTATCTCTCGGCTCTATGTTCGGCAATCTCGGTGCGACCGCGTGTGGTGAAACTCTAGATCGAGGATCGAGTCCTTCATTAGAGCTCATGTTAAGCCTTGCTGATACATATAGTCAGCCGACATCATCAAGTCCGGCCTGTCCGATAGGGACACGGCAGCTGGCAAGTCTTCCTGAGCTTGCCCCCACAATTATGAACCTTGATCTTTCCCTCGGACGACGCGGGAAGGCTCATCACAACATACTTGACGTTCGAGCGAATGTCATGCATTAGAAGTATAAGAGACAGAGAATCTGGCTAGAGAACATGATCCCGATCAAACCATCTTGTCTCGCTTCGAGGTCTAAAGTGCTGCGATTCTCCCTTTGCGACCGAATCCCGAGTCTGAAGCCCATCCTTGGTCGAGACGCATTTCCCAAGAGTCTCTGCCTGCTTGTTCCCCACAACAGAACTCCTATCTTTTCAACGGAGCTATAAAGATCGGCGATAGGGCAAATGCTTGTTCTGAAACGGGAAACGTCATGATCTCTAAAATAAACTCGAGCGCGATTTTTTGCGAAATGCGTTGTTCTTCTAGACATGAGTCTTCTCAGATCAAAACTCGCTTCCAGGTCGACATCAAAGCGGCACAAGAAGCTATCCGCCAGGGCGTTGAGGTCTGTCAGCGCTATCGACGTCGCACGAGTGCTGTCTACAGAATGCTCATTCGACCCGACTATAATACGTACACGATCGAAGAGCTGCATGCTGAGCTCTGCTATGCCGAGTGTCTTCTCGAAAACGCAGTTTTGACTTTCGTAGAAGATCAATCGCTTGTCACCTTTATAAAGGGAGGTCTCAAAATCCGTTCGTGCTACCAGTCATACAAGTAAGTTCATTTTCATTGGCTGCTGCAGATAATTTTTTTATGGGATTTGTCCAGGGGAGCTTAAAATCTCCAATATTCGCTCGGCAAACACCCTCTAAAGATGTCTGCGCTCCTCTATATCTCTTTACCGAGTGAAACGATCGGTGTTCCGAAGTTCGCTCGAGGAACGCAATCCCTTGATCCTCCCGACTCCGTCCCTGCTGCATATGTTTACCGACGAAGAATTGGAACTCGGTACTCGCAGAAAAGTCAGTCGGGACCGGAAGAGTATCTCGACGATTCATATGAACATAGATCCGCCATAGAACGTCCGGCACTCTGGGATCGGAGTGAATATGGATCGTATATTTTCGGAGCGTCTACATCGTGTCTCGATGCGAGATCTCGACAGAGAACTTCCTCCGATCGATTCGACTTCCCTTGCGTCCGAGTTTCCTTCCCCGAGCCGCTCTTGGAGGAGAAAATCGTAGGCTGCGCCGACCCGCTCAACGGAGGCAATAGTTCACGAATGCTTTCGATTGGAGCTCTGGCGAATTCCTCGGATCCACAAAGACGCCGGCGTCGATAGTCGCATTGACGAGAATTCGGAGAAAGCGTTCGATTCGAATCTCTCTCGCTCTCTCCCGCCTTTGTGTGAACAGAGCGCGGGAAAACTGCAATCAGATTCCCGCGAGCAGCTTCCGCGGTAGTTTTCCATTTCCTCTTCTCCTACAGCGTTCAGGTTATACGGTCCTTATACTTCTTATTACAGAGAATGTATGCAGATGCTGGCAACGCGCAACTGGGAAGACTCCCGAGAGAAGAAGCACTTCGAAAGCGGCGTCCACATGGGAGTCGGAGCATTCAACTTGGTAAGCGCCACGAACGTGATAGAAACCAGTCCTGGTCTCGGAAAAAAGATCCGATTCGGAGGGGATTCGTTGGGAAAGCGGACAAGAAGGAGAAATCTCTCCCATTCACGCGTCGTTATCGGCGAGGAAATCGGATAGCCTTACATGTCAGGAATTTGTAGCGGTTCGTGTACACAAACCTCTCAAGTTCCCGGCATTCCACCGAGGAAAATGCGGCACCCCTGATCGTCGTACAGCGGATGATATCAATTGTCCGCTGCTGTCTGGCGGTATCTGTCTCGACTGCCGTCAACCGAAGGTATCGTACGCTGCCGGCTGGTACAGGGTTCTGAACGAGTCGTAAGACCCGGGGATGGATGGTCGCGACCCGTACCCACGCGACTGTCCGAAGAAACATTATCTCTGTGACTGTATACTAGGTGCAATCAGTGATGCCAATAGGGGCTTGATCTACCTCCTGTGCGGGGAAGAAGTCGATTGGAAAAATATTGCCAATTGGTTCGGAATATTCTCCAATGTACTGGAATATCCATGGGTGCCGGAGACAGCTGGGGGCCGAAGAAATGAGTTTTTCGGGCTCATGAATGAATTGGGGATCCCTCCCTGGAAGCTTAGAGGAGGGTCTGGCTGACGCAGGGCAGACCATCGAAAAAATCGATGCCTGGGGAGTTCAGCGGTCCAGCGTTAGGAAGCAGACTTTGAAGAACTTCCTCGGTGGTCGAAGTTTCCGCCCCGAAACCTAGGCAGCTGTTGACCAGATGATTGATCCGATTTCCTAACACCTGTTACAGATGATCTCTCAACTCCCGACTCGAATTCTGAAGCTTCTTGAGTTCATTGGCTTTTCGGGCAACAAACAATTGGGCCTCAAAGAACTCGAGATCGGCTGTCGTCAATGGGACACCCTCCGAGGACCGCTGTGTAGCATCGTGCTGATAACGTACCATACCTTCATTCTCTTCATACTCGGTGAGTGTTGAGCCCTGACTTCGAGGTAGAGCTTGGGATACTCGCGATATCATGAGCATATGCAACACGAACCACGCCCGGGGTTTCCATCGGGAAAAGTTTCCGTAGTCGAATCAGATTCGCCAATCCGAGACAGTGTAAGCAGAGACTTCCATCCGACCTGCGCTAAATATTCCCCCGTCGAGTTGACGGAGCTCTTCAGGCCTCCCGAAGCGAATTGCATCTGGAATAAAAGGGGGAGGGAGAGTGGGCATGGTACTCGTGTATCGGCTGATTCTACTCGAAACTCCCGCTAGAGGAGCTATCCATTTTGAGAAAGAATAAATCTGTCTGCGAGAGAGCGAGAAAGACAAGGGATCCGATAAGAAGAACACTTCGATCAAGAGATGTCTTGTGGGGAGCGAGCGTTTTGATGGGTAGAATCAAACAAGGCCGTGGGAAACATATTGGAGCCCGAGATTCGAATCAGAAATCCATTAGGTTGACGTTTCTCGCCATGACGGGTGCAGAAACGTTTGTTGATGTTAGATATTAGATGTGGATTCAAAGTCTTGGGAGCCTAGCAGGATGGATCAGCATGCGCTTCCAAATGTCAAAGTGAATTGATTCGATGAAATACGACTCTAGCGACGTGATGTTGTTCTATGTCCTCTCCCCCTCTCAGCGCCAACGACGGCGCTCACAAGTGGGCTCGAGCCTCGAAAATCCAGGAAAGAGACAAGGCTACCCCCGAGTCGAATTCAATGCTTCGTTCTCCCGAGGAACTCCGAGGAGATGGAAATTCATGAGTCTAGTTCACGGTCATCGTGCATGGAGGAGAACGAGAACGCGACGCGCTCCCGAGAGCAAAGTTCAGAGGAGCATAAAGTACAATGAATGGGCCTCATTGCTACACGAAAATGTCCTTAAGGGTATTCTCGCGGCTCGCATGAATATTGTTTTCGAGATCAGTGAATTTTCGACGTTGTGACAGTTTCTTCCGGGCCTGGATTCCACCATCTCGCTATAACTCGAAGATCGACTCCGCGGCGAACCCTCACGGGAACCTCAAGGGGGGCTTCACGGTAGTCCTTTCGCAGACCCGTTCCGGAACTATGGAGCGGGAGGCCGCCTCCTGTTTCCTCCAAGTCTCTCATCCAGCAACGATGTGCGTCCTGCTCATGTGATGGCATCAAATCATCATAGCCTTCTTTGTTCTCTTTTCTACTCTTGCGAGCAAACTAGACCTTGTTTAATACGCTCTCCTGCGACCTATTTGGGCTTCGTAGGCTCGTTCTATGGATCTCTGAGTCGGATTTGGGTCGTGACTCTCCTAATGTTCCGGTCAAGGAGTAGACCGATTGACAGGCTCAAAATTCTGACTTGTAGTATGTATGAGGTCCTGGAGCCGAACCATCGTGTACGCGGTGATTCGCGAGTGGCTTCGTGCCTGCGGTGGCAGAGCCCCCGCAGTTTCAATAATTGCTCTACGATGTTCGCTACACCAATCGGTCGCATTTCTCACGGCGAGGTGGGCTGGGAATGCTGCTAATTTGCTCGAGGTCGAGGTCGACCTCAAGGGCGGCTGAAACGGATGACAGCGTTCGCCTAAGGGACGTGATGACGGAAGTCTTGGTCGCCCCTTGTCCGGAAATGACACTCGCGTGAGTGCTATGCGAGCAGCACTCGGACAGCTGCGTGCCTCGAAAATACCCCTTCCTCCATCCCGCTCCTCAGGGTTGGGATGGGCTGGTTGCCGTCTTCTCACTAATTGTTCCATCCAATCCCGATTTTGCGCCACATTGCAACGTTCGAGCAACGACAGGATGATATGCCATAGTCCGTCGGCTTTCTCCTCGGCTCGATCTCAGCTACGGGTTGAAATGGCTACAATTCCTGCACGTTACCTTTGTACCTTCGGATCTCTCAGCAGCTGCCTCTTCATTGGCCACGGAATGAATGATTGTGCCTCTTCGACTGGAGATATAATGTTTGACGGTCTTGCGGTGAGCTGTGGGCTTTCGAGGAGGCACCGACCGAGTGCAGAGCTGGCTGGTATGGATATCGCCACAATACGCAGCTGACCGAGGATGGATCGGATTCTTCCCGATGGCTTCTGGATTCTACTGGGTACGGTGTGTCTCATCCATTGGAACGATGTTCGTCATGTCTGTGTGTGAAGCCGCTGACTGCCTAACGGGGAACCCCACTCGCTACTCCGGGAGAGAAAGCGTGTCACGTCACGCGTTTCGTAATTCTCAAATGATTTCCAAAAATGCGACTCGACCGATATCGGGCACAAACGTAGCTCGAGCTTCCGACCGAATGGGATCTCGACGACGATTGTCAATTGAACCTGAAGCTCTTGGAACGGATCCAGATGATGGGTGACGATCTGTCTTGCTTTGCCTGTTTGCTGATACGCTCGCGTTCCCCTATCGCTTCCAATTTTCACTCTCCTCCTACGGAGGGGACGTTGTGCAAAGCTTCGGAGTTTGCTCAAGTCGATCCTTTGCTGACGTCAGTCATGCCCCGAATCCGACCCCACTCGAAGTAATCTGGATGATATTCGCGTCAGTCTGCTCCATGTTTCTCGGAGGGCAATCTGATGTGCATTCGAGAATAGAAAAACTCAACTCTGACCATGGATTCTATTTGCAGGGTTGGGCGACGGAGACCTCGACCTCTCCCAGGAGCTCGTTACGGGACTGTTGAAGAAATACCCGAACGGAGTGCTGTCCATGTTCTTCCAGGCTAGACAATATCAGGTCCGCGGGTTGATCGACAAGGCGATTACGCAGTATTCGGAGGCCATATCCGCCCAGAATGAGTGGGTTCCTTTTCACTACATTTGCTACTGGGAACAACTCTGGTGCTACACGTAAGTTTCGCGCAGCGTATAGCTCGAAGCAGTCTGGTGGGCGGCGAGCGAACGGATACACGTCTAGAGAAGAGAGTATGTTCTTGCCATACGCATGGACATTCAAAGGGGAGAGAAGAAAAATACACGATAAAAATTGCGGGAAAACTCCCCGGCACGGTACTTCATGATTCTGGTATGCTCACGACTCATTCGGTCGCCACTCGTCCGGAAACGACCTTCTCTTCAAACCCCTGGGCTCCAGGGCGAGTGTGCCATCGAGTCTCCCCGCTCGGAGCATTGCCCCCTCGGGGGGGGGGAATCCCCGATCCCAAGAGATCTAGGAAGGAATCATCTTGACGCCGAGCATGAAGCGTGCATCTACTCAACTCCGAATGACCTTCAATCATTGCAGGTACAAGGGCGCGTGGGACGATGCCATCAGGACGGCCGATGTGCTACTCGAGGGCTGCCGCTGGTCGAAAGCATGCTATCAGTACATTCGCGCCTGTTGCCTCTATTCGAAAATGCTCGAGGAAAATCGACCGGAACTCATGGACGAAGTTATCGCTAACATGCGGAACGTACCCGGCTTGAAGCAGAGGATCGCCGGCAAATCGATTCCCATCGAAAAATTCGTATGCAAGAAGTCTGAAAAATTCTTGGCACAAGGCAACCGTCTCCTGTTGCCGGCCGTGGTAAGCAATTCATGCAAACGTCAAGCTTGACAACAATGACCGCACAAAGTTTCAATGACATTGTCTGAGGCTCAGCGAGAGGCAAACAGGGCCCTCTACGCCGCAGGACTCTCATCTCTTGCCATGAACTTGTCCAAGCGGATTGTTCTGGCTTCTGGATGAGAAGACCCGCAAAGCCATACCTACGAGCGAAGCGGCGGCGGTACCCACACGTGTGAGTGAGACGCCTCGCACGGAACGAGAACGGGGAATGGCCCCGTTTTCGAGTCGCAGAGAGAGTTCTCGTCGCTCTGTCAGAGCTATGTACACGCGCTCCGAGAGCTCCATTGAAGTTTATTTCGAACGTGGAACTACGCGCTACACACACTTTCTGCGCAACAACCGAGCGGTCGCGTCGTTGCCAGAGAAGGAGCACAAAATCCGGATCGATAGGGATCCTAAATGGGTGCTCGAGCTGTTTCGGATTGGATTTGCGCTTGGACGGTCGGCCGCAAGACTGTCGCTTGCCCAGAACGATGGGATGGATGAATGTTGTCAAGCCTCCACGGCTGGACCGATATACACGATCGGTCATTTACCGATCAAAATCTCGAGGGGAGACGTAGCAGAGTCTTGTCTAAAGCATTTCCACCTTACAGGAGGTTATGTACATGTGGAACAGTTTCCCCATGATCGGAAAGAACCAGGAACTCTTGCTCATGATCCGCGCTCAGATCGAGGCTGAACTTCCAAGACTCAAGCAGCTGAAAGGTGAGTGATCACTTGATTAGTGATTACGAAGTTTCATTCCGATCTCGCTCACCAATACACTCGAGCCGCCCGCTTGCCTTGCTCGTTCCCGGAGCTCTCCCCTGAGGAATGCTCACCGGGTCGATCTCAAACCTTGTTCGGGCATCAACCAGAAAACCGCTCTGACCAGGTCTCATTGCTTTACGTATCGGTTTCTACGGAAACGATAGAGAGCGGCGGCAACCCAAGTGAGGGGTTTCTGAAACTGGCGCTTATCTTTCTGTGCCTCTTTTTTGCAGAAACTGAAGAAGGTTGGGCTGACGATTACTGTCTGATCATTTTCTTGAGGGGAGTCTGCATGCGCTATAATGGAGCTTTCCAGCAGGCAGAAGAGTGCTTCAAGGAAGTTCTCGCGAAGTGAGTATCAAAGTTCGTCACTTGGATATGCCCACACGGCTCTTTCCGAGTAGGAGGAAGCGCTGATTGATGGTACTTTGAAGCTTGCGAATAATTTTACCTTCCCCCCTTCCAGTCAAGCTCTCATCAAGGACGACACCTATCTGCCTCCCTTCGCAGCCGCCGAATTGGGATTCTTGTACCTTCTGCAGAATCAGTTCGAGAGATCGCGGGAATACCTCGACATATCACGGAACAACTATCACGACTATCTTTTAGAATCGCTCGTTCACTTCCGCATCCACTCGGCAATCAAGTCGATGAAGTCTTCCGGGTTCTCGTCAACTCCCACAACACCATCTCCGAGCTCATCCCCCTTCCCGTCACCTATATCAACGCCCGTCCACCCGTCAGGTCAGGTCATCGGAAAGTTCCCGTACCTGAGCACGAGCCCCGGCGTGGTTTCGGTGGCTGACAAGTGTCCACTAGCCGCCGCTAAAGCCGTCAACAATAATGGCAACGTACAAACCACCGTTAGCGAATAGTCTGCTCAAGGACACTGCACGCGCTCACCGATCGATGGATTGATTCTATGATTGAGCGAAGCTCATCTGGTTCCTAAATTCATGCATTTCATCAGAGAACAGTCATCATGTAGTCAACGAGAACGGCCGAAAAAAATATTAAAAAAACACCGGGAATCATTAGCCACCTCTCCTCCGCGGGGAGGAGGAGCAGATAGAGAGAGAGGAAAACTCACTCAGCAATCCATGGATCTATTCCGTGCTAGGCGGGCATGAGCTGGTGGGCGGATTGACGCAAGTTGTATGTAGGAGCTCGAGATCTGACGTCAGCGTAATCGATTTCTCATTCGAAGATAGGAGTCAGACAATGTTTGAAGCCACCAAGGTGCCTTTTCCTCGATATGACTTGCATACCTATGGACACGTCGGTGGCCATATATTCCATTATTCGGTTCGAGGAGAAGCCGACAGACATCCGGGGACCTGTGGGGAAATAGAAAGAATTAATCTGTCGGAATGGAAATTTCATAGCGGCTTGTGAACTCCGGATGGAGATCCGAACAAGTGCAACTCCTGATCCATCGATTGATGTAGAGAGGGGTTTTGCGATTCTTCGAGTCGCACAGCAATCTCGGTAGAGTGCTCCCTCCGAGCCCGGTTTCGACATCGTACTCTTCTGATTGGGATTGGCCTTTATTCCTTTGATCTTCCTCGAAAAAGCAAAAAAAATTGCTGCGAATGCGGTCATATCTCTCGCGAATCGCATTCAGTCTTCGATCCGGGGCTGGCTCAGAGCGGGCACGCCGTCCTCTCTCTAATCGGGAGAGGAAGTACAGTATCGAACGGATTCTCTGGCGCATACGTAATCATACCCAAACACACACATCCTTCCAAGATCATTGTCTCACAAATAATCATTGAAAAATATCTTTTCTCGGAGTAATTTTTCCACGAAACAAACAGTATAAGGATTTCTCGGAACGGAGCTGTGGGCTTCAGGGAAGGCGGAAGCCAATCTGAACAAATATCTCCATCCTTTAGCGGAGCAGCAACGCTCCCAGATCAAGGAGACTCCTCACAGAACCTAGACCGCGCAATCGAGTCGATTAGCCGAGTGGATGCCTCCGGGCTCCCCTGGAGAGCCCGTGCAGTGAAACCAAAACATATGAAATCCGTCACGAGGCGAAGAATCTTAGCAACGCGACGCTCAAAAAGCTCGATCGATGGTGTTATTCCCGACCGGTCGCCGCAGCGAAGAGCTCCTGAGAGCAAGTGAACACCAAGTGAGCTTGAGAACACGCAACGCGAAACCGCGTGCTCCGGCTTAGCTTAGATGCTGGTCCGATGGTCGACACCAGTTTTAGATGAGAACTTCTGGTTTGAAGCTTCCGGTCGCCTAGAACGTCTGTGGGGGTTGCAGTAAATCTGTTTCTCCTGATTTTCTGCTTTCAAGCGACAGATGTTTGATGAAAGCCGCTTGTACCCCACGTCAGAATACTTACGAGTTTTTAGAGTGACGATTTCCTTTTTTTGCCGATTCGGTGCTGATAAGAACTTTTTCCGGTCGAGTCTCGCTCTCGCGAATTTCACCCGGAAATCGCGTCAGACGGACAACATTCGATCACTTCTTGTACAAATGATTTCTCTAATTCTGCGATGGTGCGACACGAGACGAAAATCAGCAGAAAGACGTGATCTTCATCAATCAGTATCGCGGAAAGTTTAGACGAGCCTCTGGCAATTGTGAGCCGTGGGGGTGATTGAACGTCCCGTTTGTTGGGGATCGAATTTGTGAGTGTTTTCCAGTTTTGTCGCTCGTATCACCGTTCTGTGACGTGAGGAATTCTCTCGACGAGTTACCCCCGCGAACTAAATCGGGAGTTGTTCTCAAGTCGCATGGACTTTGACGACTGTCTGTTGGAGGAAGCGTCGAGCTCCTTATCGTTCCGTTGATGCGTTTTATTATGTTTGTCAATTCACTCAATCGAAGACGACTACGATATATCGAAATATAAATAATAAATATATAAATACGTAGATACCGACTGAGATATGCTGATTTGTTCATTGTTGGTAACTCCCTAGGAGATACAGGGGATGGACGCGTCCATTAGGGTGGGATAAACGTTCCGAGCCTCGATGGCTAGAGTTTTCGGAGTTGAGGCGAAGAAGCTCACACAATTAGTGACGGAACAGACATCGAGGTTTTTGTGATTCTATGGGGACAGGATGAACCCCGAAGTGCTTCTTGCGGGAAGGAGTCCAAGCGATCAGGGAGAAGCCGACCAGAATCGAGCGTTGCGATCAAACTAAGGGATAGACTATACGGAAATATATCTATCTAGCGAAAGAATGAACCGATTTGTCGGGGTGTTGCCCGTGCGTTGGACGAGGACATCAATAAACACCCTTCCCGCCTTCGTGCAATTGTCTCAGAAAAGGAATGCGAAGTCTTGATTTCATCTTTTCCACAGCAATCATTGATGATGAACTCGTCGCCAGCTCCTAGCTATGGAAATGGGTGAAAACTCCCGGGAGTTATGACCAGCGTCCCGGATGCATGACTCCACAATATAGATATCGTACATCGGAGTCACCAAGTGACGATACGACATATTGATTGATTCGAATCACCTCTATGGAAATCATTCCCTCGAAAGTTCGCATCGACTCCGTATCGATACTTTTTCTCCTCTAACCTCTGCTGGCCTCCTGAGATGGATACTATGGCGAAAGTATTGGCGGAAAATTGTATCTCGAATAGTTCTAACTTCCGGCTATCTATTCGGCTTCTGCTTGAAGAGGACGGGAGTCATAGCAACCGCCCGCCTAGGGGCTGTCTACCGGTATCGAGCTTGCGAGACGTTGCGAGAGACAACGTGCACGTCGCGAAGGAGATCTGTACGTCACGTTTGGAGCGCTCGAACCGCACGGCTATCTCGCCAGACTGTGGATACTTATAAGTGTATTTCTTCATAGGATGGATGAATATTCGAAGGCTTCGAAAATTTCCCTCTAGTAGATCAACAGCCGTCGGGTGGCTCTTCATTATAAGAGGCATAGGCATAGATATGGGCAGACACGGAAAGCCGAATTTCCTTTTGTTCCAAGGATTCATCAAGGCATTCAGCAGACAAGCGAACTCAGTTCGGATGTCGCCGATGTTGAATACGGTTTCGGAACCTCGCTGGGGATAGAGGATTCTCCTGTTTGCGTAGATGACGCTGTGGGGAGCGGAAGCTACGGATGTTCCAAGGAGAAACAAGTCTAGACCTCCGACCGATCCATTCAGAACATGATTCGAACAGCCTGCCCGGCGGGGATCCAGGTGCTCTCAGTAAAATACCCAATTTTCTGTACTTCACAGCTTGGGGGACTCGCTACCTCTCGTGGTCTATGTAAACTCGACGAGCTACACTACGGGAAGGACGCAGTGTCGCGGGGAATCGTTCCCTTTCGCGTAGAACGTCGATCTTCTCGGTCACTTTCGCTCCTAGACCGCCTGCCGAGCCATATCCAACAAACGAAACCGCTCCGTAGAAAGACTCGACGGCCATCGAAATAGAGCAGACAGGATAAATAGCATGAGCGACTACACACATACTCGGGACCGCCAAGCGGGTCGAGTTATCGGAGCAGACGTGGATCGCGAAAATAGTCAATACGAAAGCATCACGAATACCGTGACCCATCACTAAACGTTCCGAACGAATAAAATCTGTTGAAATAGCTCCCGAGAACATCAACGACTTCCAAGCGCTTATCGAGACCTAGTGAGCGTAAGGTCGCTCATCGCTAGACTGACTCGACATAAATCCAGGAAACCACGAAAATCGCACTCGGACACATCAGTGCTCCGTCTTAATGACAGCGGAGACATGCCGCCAGTTGCTGGAGCGGATCCTCCCGCGGGGTGACCCCTGTCATCCATGCTCAATGCTCGGCCGCAGAAAAGCTCCCAGCTATATACGAGTGGACTCTAGAAGACTGGCAGGAAAGACGCTGACGATATATTTCTGTCTCCATCGGGAATCATTCCAGCGCCTAATCCAGAAGGTCTGAAGAAGAATTCGCTCCCCCCGCTCCTCCCCGAAAAAAGGAAGATGAATCGCCTCAGAAGGGTCAATCCGCGAGCTTATTGGAACGCTTCGATCCCACTCACCTACGTGGGGTCATCTGGTGATGTTGTGATCGATGAAGACTTCAGTGACTATCAACGGGAAGAGTAGCGTGGGTGGTCGGCGATCCATCGGCGTGAATATCGATAGGTCGGAAGAAAGGAGAAAGTTCCCGGGCCTCTCACTCGAGGGTTAGGGAGAGCAGAAAAAAGCCGCAAGGAAGAGCTGTCGGATCCCAACAAGTTGAAGGGAAGCTTTTCCAGAGCGGTGGCTCATCTCGAAACATACACCCCAGATCGTTCCCCGGTAGGAATCCGCGAGCGATTGAAGCGGCTGACGTCGACTCGGGGTCTATGACGTGTGTGGAGGCCAATGAGCGATCTATGATTCGTTCTCCTGCCGAAGAGCGGATCAGGAGACTCAACGATTGCGTTCAGAGGAACGTCCTTCCGAACACGATGATGAAGCTTTCACGCCGATTCCGAATCGATGGGATGGAGAAGGAACGAGTCCGGGATGCGGGAGTCGCGAAAACTCGATCCGAGAAGTTGTCGTTTAGATCGGGTCTTGAGTCATGAGTGCCGATCCCGGGGTTTCGAGAGCCCATGATGTCTCTGACTATTCCTCGGTGGCATGTCACGGCCCGTGAGGTATCCCCGAAGGCTTCGGGAGATCCCGGGGGGCTCGTTCCCTCCGTAGTTCGATGGATTCCGGCAATCACCGCTCACCCGCGCGCACCAGAGAGCGCTTCATCGAATATTCTACCCTCTCGGCGGGGATTGAACACAAGGCTGATTACTAGTTCATACCCTGATCGAGCTGGGAACTTTATCCTGGACGGTGATATCCATATTCGATGTCAACGTCGCTGATTGAAATTCCCCGAACTTGCGTCTCGTAGGATGGCAAGCTCAGCGAGGCTGAAGATTCGCAACTCGGCGAGACTCCCTGAAAGTTCCCTTTACGACGAACAATGCCCATAGCGGACCCCATGTAAGATGCGAACTCATGTTTGAGGTCCGCTCGAATTCAATTATTGGAGAAATGCTTCGGGATGCTGGAGTCTTGCGAAAATTCTTGATCTGTTGGAGAATGGTGGGAAAGGATAATAATTCTGCCGCCCGGGAGACGGGCGGCTGCAAAGGAAGAAATATATTGATGGCGGGGCCCGACGGAAGGGAGCCATCGGATGAAGACATTTGAATTGCGGGAAATCCAAGAGCCATGATAACTGATGCGAACAAAGGGGAGAAATAGGGTTGACCCGAGAGAAATTCCTCCAGCAAGCTGTCAGAATGGTCTGGAATCCGGAGAAGATGGGGCAAACCGGAATACTCTCCAACAGCTGGTCGTGGCGTGTGGTGGCGTCGATTCAAGTAA